TGCCTCTAGATGCCCTGGGCTCCTTCCAAACAGTGAAAATACTCAGAATAGTGACTCACACAGAAACACAGAGCAATTCTGACGCTTTCACACTCAAAAGCCTTTTCAGGTGCAAGGGAGAAATGTGTGTCCAGTTTTAATTCAGGGGGGTGGAATAGCATGATTCAAATCCCTGATATTTTGGCAAATGCTGCATTATAGAATAGCATAAGTGAAAAATATAGTTCTCCGCACTTGAGGAGCTTAAAGGTAAAGGTACCCCTGCCCATACGGGCCAGTCTTGACAGACTCTAGGGTTGTGCGCCCATCTCACTCTATAGGCCGGCGGCCAGCACTGTCCGCAGACACTTCCGGGTCACGTGGCCAGCGTGACAAGCTGCATCTGGCGAGCCAGCGCAGCACACGGAACGCCGTTTACCTTCCCGCTAGTAAGCGGTCCCTATTTATCTACTTGCACCCGGGGGTGCTTTCGAACTGCTAGGTTGGCAGGCGCTGGGACCGAGCAACGGGAGCGCACCCCGCCGCGGGGATTCGAACTGCCGACCTTTCAATCGGCAAGTCCTAGGCGCTGAGGCTTTTACCCACAGCGCCACCCGTGTCCCCTTGAGGAGCTTACAGTTTTTTAAATAGATCTGCAAAGGGTCCAGAGCAAAGGAGTCTGGCTCTGGTTTATTTGGAACAGCTTCCACCTCCATGTGTGTCTGTCTGTGTGTGTCCCTTCCCAGCTAATGAAAACAAAACAGCTCTTTCCAAGGCATGTGAAGGCACCTCTCAGATCTCTCCTACTCCAGTGGACCAAGGTGGCATAATTCACTTTACTGCTCCGCTCTCTTGGCCTCCAAAGGCCAAGTTAAATCAAGAGCAGCCCCTCCCTCCTCTCCCTCCGCTTGCCAATTTTGTGCTTCCCTTGCCAGCTTTTCACAGGTGCGGGAGCTGGGGATGGCCAGTGACATTTCAGTGCTCAAGGCAGAAAACCCAGAGCATCCCTTCCTATGAGGACAATCCCTCAAGGGCATTCTCCTGTGGCAGCCGCCTTGAAATAAATGGGCAGCAGGGAAGGAAAGGGAACCAAGAAATGATGTTAAAAAAGGATGCTGCGGAGGACTGGGGTGGGCTGGTGGATACGTGTATGGAATGGTGGGCCCCAGGGTGGGGGAGATGATTCAGTCCTGAGCCAGATCACAGGGACTTGTCACTTAGCAACCATGCGGAACTAGGGTGCCCAATGTGGGTTGCACTGCTGGAAGCATCTAAATCAAGCACAAACGAGGAGATGGAATGGGGAGGGCCTACTGGCAAGCCTACTGGCAAGCAGGGCCAACCAATCCCCTTAGACCAGGGGGTGGGGAAATGTATGTCCTCCAGATATTGTTCAACTCCGGCTCCCATCAGCCCCAGCCAGCATGACCAATGGTCAGGGAAGACGGGAGCTGAATTGAACAACACCCCCCACCCCATAAATGGCTGGTTGCTGTTCCAAGTTTCCTGGTCAGAAGGCAGGTATGAGAGTCGGATGCAGCAGTCAGGCTCCCCTTCACAGAGGGTTTGCCAATGATGAGTTAATGCGGAGGTGAATTTCAACACTTCAGGAAAAAAATTAAAGCCCCAAGATTTAAGATAAACCAATAAAGAGTTTTAAAGCAAGTGTAGCAGAGAAAACAGTTGACTGTAACTATCATAAAGCCACCAGAATTCAGGGTTTTCCTAAACGCCAATACACATTTCCTTGGGCAGGGCATTCCAAAATATGAGCCCATCACAAAATATCTGTCTGGAAGAATGCTAGACTCAATGGACCTTAGTTTAATCTAGTCAGGCAATCCTTATGAAAATTGTATCCATAATCCTGCCCACCCCCCAAGCTACCAATTCCACTCCACTGGATAAGAAGAACTCTGTGTAGCTCAAAAGCTCTAAAAGCCCTAAACCACAGAGCCTAGGACTTGCCGATCAGAAGGTCGGTAGTTTGAATCCCCGCAACGGGGTGAGCTCCCATTGCTCGGTCCCTGCTCCTGCCAATCTAGCAGTTCGAAAGCATGTCAAAGTGCAAGTAGATAAATAGGTACCACTCTGGCGGGAAGGTAAACGGCATTTCCATGCCTTGCTCTGGTTCGCCAGAAGCAGCTTAGTCATGACCCACATTACCTGGAAGCTCCCTCGGCCAGTAAAGCGAGATGAGCGCCGCAACCCCAGAGTTGTCCGCGACTGGACCTAACAGTCAGGGGTTCCTTTACCTTTACTTTACTTGTTCTGTTGGCTGGGTAACATAACTTAACGTGCTTCCAGTTAGGAGCTTAATATGACAAGGGCAACAGGTTTGGGTTTGGGTTTTTGTTTTTATAAAAAAAAACCTTATTGGATTTTCAGTGGAAAATGTATATGGGATTAAATGGGGCGGCGGGGGGGATTAGAATGCAGGCTGGCATTTTGATGCCCACAATACCACGTGGATGCTATGAAAAACCTGTATGCGTGAGGAGCACCAATCCCACAATAAACACCTTTCCGGCAGCACCCTTAAACCCAATTATTTGGAAATGTGGGAGAGAAACCTTAGGTGTCATTCCTTAGACCACCAGTACCACCTTGTGGCCAAGTAGGAATGCACTTTTAAAGGTAAAGGTAAAGGTACCCCTGCCCATACGGGCCAGTCTTGACAGACTCTGGGGTTGTGTGCCCATCTCACTCAAGAGGCCGGGGGCCAGCGCTGTCCGGAGACACTTCCGGGTCATGTGGCCAGTGTGACAAAGCTGCATCTGGCGAGCCAGCGCAGCACACGGAACGCCGTTTACCTTCCCACTGGTAAGCGGTCCCTATTTATCTACTTGCACCCGGGGGTGCTTTTGAACTGCTAGGTTGGCAGGCGCTGGGACCGAGCAGCGGGAGCGCACCCCGCCGCGGGGATTCGAACCGCCTACCTTTCGATTGGCAAGCCCTAGGCGCTGAGGCTTTTACCCACAGCGCCACCCGCGTCCCCGCGCCACCCGCGTCCTTACTATTTCTTAATTAAAGGGTGGATGAGTTCAGCAGGCAAAAGTTGGAGGTTCCCCCATGACCCTGGGTTCTATGCCATGGGCTGTTATTCTCAGTGAAGCAGCTTGGCTGTCCATAACCCTCATCATTAATTCAACTATCTTGCTGTCTTATTCATTTAACAAAATTTATATACTGTTTGATTGTAAGAAAACCTCTACCACTGAGCTTCTGCACCACCCTGATAGACGCTTCTTTCTCATCCTGTCGAAACAACCCCCCCCCCATAACCTTGCATCGTCTTCCCCAACCAGATGTTTTGAATGACATAACATGCTGGCTGGGGCTGATGGGAGCCAGAGACCAAAACATCTGGGAGGCACCAGGTTGCGACTCTTAGCAAGATGAAAAAACTGGCAGTTATTTATATGGCATTTATATCCCACCTTTCCCCCCAAGGAGTTCAAGGTGGTGTACCTGGTTCTGTGCCCTCCCTGTTTTATCTTCAAAACAACCCTGCAAGGTTGGCCAGGCTGAGACACCCTGTTTGGCTCAAAGACCACCCTCACACCATGCATTCAAAGCGCTATGGTGCCACTTTAAACAGTATTGGCTGCTCCCAAAGAATCCCGCCAACCTGTCAAGTTAAGGGAGCTGAGAATTGTTAGAAGCCCCTCTCTCCGCCCCCCCCGCCCCCGCAAATAACAGCTAATCCTTCTTCTCAAGGAATTCTGGGTGGGGAAGACCATAGTGGCTCCTTAATGGTAGGCCATAAAAAAAAGCTTTGGGCCTCCTCTTTTCTAGTCCCAAGAACAAAAGGTAGAAGATCTGGCCTTCTGTGACAATTGACTAGACCATCTCTAGCGCTGGAGTTTGTAATGCTGGGCTGCCTGCCTGCTTTCTACTTGCCCTCTTAATCTGTGAATAGATATCAAGCTGATAACGTGGGGTGGGGGACCTTTCCCTTCTGTAAACAGCTGGATTCCATGGGGGTGTCGTATGCAGTGCCAAAGCCAGCTGCTGCTATGGGCTGCTGGGGCCACTTTTACAGAGGGCAAATGGGACCCTGCCCCACCCACCCCAGCCTGCCCTCGCTTAGCCTCCACTTCCTTTTATTACTTGCAGCCTGGGGGGAGTTGCCAGTCAGCTTCCTCCTCCTTAGTCTCTGGACTCGTCCACCCTTGCCCCAGGCCTGGCAAGCCGTTTCCCACTTGCCTCGTGCTTTCTAGGCATGGCCCTGCCGCTTCCCCCCACAAAACCTGCTATTTTGTGCTTAATCGGAAAAAATGTCACACTGGAGAAAACGCAACAACGCTTGCTCCAATTCAGCAGTGGGCATTGTCCTTTGAGGATGGGCTGGGCATTGTAACTGCCAACTGCAGGTTCTGTGCATCAATCATTCTAGGCTGAGAGGCAGCACTTGCTAGCACAGGGTCTGATCCTGAAATACTTTTTCGCTTGGCACCAATAAGAACTTGCTTCTCTCCAAGGCCTAGAAGGGCTTGGTGCAGGAGGGCCCTTCAGAGCAGATTTGGGGGTGCACAGGGGGAGGAGAGGAAGAGGGAGTCCCCCTGCGCCAGCAGAGCTGCATGTGTGGAGTATTGGACAGACATTCTGGATGACAACTCTCATGAGGGCTGATGGAGCTGGGACTGGGCCAAGTTGGCTGTACTGGGGGTGGGGAGGAGAGAGGATTTCATAATCAGAGAGTTGCATTTCCAAAAAGACCTGAGCTGCACCATCTCTTTGCACCCCTGGCAGGAGACTGGCTAGCCTTTTCCCCATACCAAGCTGCCTCAGGACAGGGGTTGGGAGAAGCTGCAGCCTTCCAGATGCTGCTGGACCCCTATGTCCTGCCGCCCTGACCCACTGGCTGTGCCAGCTGAGTCCGACGGGGGTTGTAGCCCTGTAGCACCAGGAGGACACTGGGTTGGGGAAGGCTGGGATAAGAAACAAGCAAACCTCTGCATTGTTCTTCAATAAACCAAGTGAAGCAGCAGTAGCAATTCTCCATGGTCACAAAGAGGACACTTACAGCTTGACTCCTTTATTTAACTCCTGGTTTACAAAGAGATCAGAGCACAGCCCCGTGCAAGGGGAGCAACCAGGCAGAAGAGAGTCAAAGAGCCAGACTGCCGATAAACCACCAGCTTAAGAAGAAGCAGACTTTGCCCAGGCCGGCCTAAATGGAGCACCTCACCCTCTCCGCAAACCACAGCAGCAAAGCCCAGAGTGCTTCCTCTTGGGAGAGGAGTCGACTGGCCTAAAATCCATCCCAGAGAGGAATCCAGTTTCTTTTGAGGAGCTTTGGAGCGGTGTGTGTGTCTCTTGAGCGTGCATGGGTGCCTTTCCTGCCCTAGCTGAGCCCTGCTTCACTGCCGCTGTCCTCATCGAGCGGAGTGGAGTTCCTTTCCATGTCCCCTTTCTCCACAAAGTTGAGGATGCGCCGGTTGGCTTGGATCAGGTACTGCTGCTGGCGAAAGTAGACCTTCAGGGCTCCCTTCAGGGCCACAAAAGCAATGCCCCCCTGGCAGGGAAACAGAGAAAAGGAGGGGTAGGTGAAGTTAAGAGCCTCAAACCACCTCTTTTGCCTTCTGAGCATTGGAGAGGCAGGTCCATGTGAACCACCACTCGGTATGGCGAGGAGAGAGCAGTTCCCTCAAGCCCCTTCCTGAGAGGAGTCTGATTGACAGAGGGAAGCAGCCAGATCATCATTATCTGCTCCAGTCCAGGATTCCTTTTTCCTTTAGAACATTTAGACACGGCTCTTCGGCCAGAAGACTCCAGGGTTAAAGCAATCAGTTAAAACAAAACAGTCCTTTCCCCACAGGCTTACAATCTAAAAGGCACAGCACAAAAGAAAAAAGGGCCAGGGAGGGAAGAAGAAAAAAGAAAACATGGGGGCCAATTCTTAAAGTAAAATTGTGGTTCTTATAATGACCAGCTTGAATGGAAACAGTTCTGAGGTGGAAGGTGCCAGGTGAATCTGGTCTTCCATGCTGAGAGGGTGCAATGAGCCCCCTTGCCCATCTCTGCCATGGAGGCAGCCTACCAGGTGAGAGCCTACCAGGTGGAAGCCTAGGATCGAGCACTTTCAGTGGCGCTGTAGGAAGGAGCCCTCTCTCCCACTGAGGCAGCAGAAGCATCACCTGAGGGGGATACCAGAGGGGACTGGCCTTCTGTAACAGCCAACATGGTGCCCTCCCAGTGCTGTGAGACTCCAGCTCCCACCAGCCCCCATCCCCATGGCCAGTGGTTGGGGATGATAGGAGCTGGTGTCTCTCCAAAAATATCTGGGGGACGCAGGTTGGTGACTCCTGGCTTAAGACAAAAGGGATCTACAGGCTTCCTCCAGGTTCTGCAGTATGGAGGCCTCCCCCTGCCCCCTCAGACTGAAAACAACTGTGCTAACATATGTTTTCAAGCCACCTAAAAAAAGAGGGAAGACCTAAATGATGGAGAGGCAGGATATAAATCCTGAAAGAAAAGTGGAAATGTGGAGCTCCTTCTATCGAGTCAGACCATTATTGTTACTTATTAAATTTATATACCACCCTCCATCCGAAGATCACAGTATAGAAACACATGGATAACATAATAATAAACAAAGCAATAACCCCCCACAGTTTAAAATGCTGTATATCGTTCAATTGGCCAAAGGCCTGGGAGAAGAGGCATGTTCTTGCCTGGTGCCTAAAGATATGCAATGAAAGTGCCAGGCAAGCCTCCTTGGCGAGAGCATCCCACAAACAGGTCCATCGGTCCATCTGGCCCAGCACCTTGGCGGCTGCATGCCTTCCTGATGGACTGAACTGCAACTTTCACCAGCCTCAACCAGCACAGCCATATGGCGCCAGGCTGGTGGGAGTTGTAGTCCAAAACTTCTGGAGGGCACCAGGTTGGAGAAGCTGAGTCTAATCCAATGGGCATCATCTCCAACAAAGGTCCTTCCCAGCCTGGCTGTTTGAGATCCTTTTACCCAGAGGTGCCAGTGCACCAAACCTTCTGCATATGAACTATGTGCTGTGCCAGCTAACCCGAGGGCTGTCCCAGCCTTGCCACCATGGCTAGCAGCATTAGGGTGCTGTGGCAGGGATGCTACATTGAACCAAGAATGGGAGTGATTCCTTCAAATACTTGAATTCTGACCCAAGTATTGCACCCAGTTGACTCCAGAGTTCCTTCCCCAGTCTCTCCACTCACCAGGATGGTACGCTGGAGGCTGGAGTTCACCCTGCGGAAGGTGACTCTGCCAACTAGGTTGGCAATGGTGGGGAAGACCAGGGCCCCGCACAGCGTGCGCGAGATGGAGAGGTGGTCACTCTGGTAGCGCGACTCGGCGAGAGGGATGTGCGGAACAGGGCAGCTGATCCCTGAGGATGCAAGAGAGATTAGGAAAAACATGGTGAGAGCTAAAAATCTGTTTAATAAAAATAAGAACAGCTGCAGAATAAAAAAATGCAAACATGAATTTTAGCATGATTTGGACAGACAGCAAACTTTGCTTGGTGCAAATTTGTTGCTGTTGTTGATTACTATTATTCTGCACAATGGAGGAACATGCCTTGCCTCTGCCCTTCCTTCCACTGCATCCTGGCCAAATGCACATGGATTAGAGGGATCAGTTCATGCTGCAGCTCATGGCAATTGCAGTTACTTGTTGTGTGTGCTGCTGTTGCCAAGCAGAACAGTCCATAACTCCAGATGCCATTCAACTCCCACTGGCAAAGCTATGCATACAGGTAGGCTCTTGGCTTACAAAAAGGACAAGGAATGGAGGATCTGTTTTTTTGTCCTGCTGCCCCAGATGCAGAGCTGTGCTCTGCCCAGTAACTAGTCTGGAAGTAGGATGGCTGTGAGAAATCCATATTCTTGTGAATTCCATGAATAGTTCAGCTTTGTCCAACCTGGTGACCTCCCACTGCTTCTGACTACAATTCCCACCAGCTGGCTGAGGCCAATGGGAATTGTAGTCAAAAACAGTGGGAGGGCAGCGGCACCAAGTTGGACAAAGCTGTCCTAGGGTGCTGCCAATTGCCACTGTTTTGTAGGAGGGATTCATCCGCATACCATAAATTTTGGTTGGCCCACCTTTCCTTCCAAATGCAGAGTCCAGGGGAAGCCTGCCTCATGCTGGTCTCCCAGCCCATCAACTTCAGGCCAGGAGGAGCGAGCGGAGGGTGGCACTCACCTGGCACCAAGGCCTGCAGGGCTTGGAGCTTGCTGGAGTATTTCCGCCACACCCGCAGCACGTAGTCTTCCCAGCGGATCATCTTGCCCAGCACCAGCATGACAGGGATGGTGGGGAGCCCCATGAGCAAGAAAAGGGGGTCTGCCCGCTCCATCACATCCAGGCCCTTTTTATGACCAACAACCTGCCAAAGGAGAAGAGACTGATCAGCAATGCAGTGAGGCGAGCCGGGTGGCTTCTGCCTTCATCAGCGAGCAGAATAAAACTCCATTCACATAACCCAAATGGTCAGATTCTTACTGGCTAGCTTCAGATTCCTAGCACAGCACCGTCTGAAGTACTATGATATCACATTAAACAGTCATTGCTTCCCCCAAAGAATTCTGGAAGTTTTAGTTTGTTAAGGGTGCTGAGAGTTGTTAGGGCGCGCGTGTGCGCGCACACACACACACACACAATTTCTCTCACAGAGCTCCAAAGTGGACAGAGTTACATGTGAAGAGGAACTGACTGTTTAACCATGCTAGGAATGGTAGCTCTGGGAACAGGGGTCTCCTAACAACTCTTAACAACTGACAGTTCCCAGAATTCTTTGCAGGAAACCATGATTGTTTAAGGTGGTATCATAGTGTGAATGCACCCCCCTTTTTATCCCACTGATTAATCAGTCATAACCTCTGTCAATTCTGATTAAACCATGCAGCCTCATTAAGCTTTCTTGCATATGATTTTATTTCACAAATTTTCTCCACTGCTCGATTATAATAAAATTTCCAAGTGACTTTCAAAGCTACTGACTGAGCTGAAGGCCATCTGATTCATTCTTTCCCTGCACCCCTTTGCTTTACCTGCATGACAGTGACAGCCCCATACGTCACAGCCGACCAGTAGAGTGTCCCCACGACAATGCCAGCTGCAGCGAAGGGGCTCACTTTGGATAAAATTCGGTCCACTTGTTGCAAGAAATACACCAAGGGTCCTACAAAGGAAGGACAGCAGAAACTCAGTGTTGCAGGCACTCAGCTTGGGCTCTCAACAGCCACCAGGATCATGGCCTAGGCATTCAGGCCCCTTCAGAGGTGTCACATCCCTCAGCCACTGAGATGCCATTGAAAGAGGGGTGTGGGTATGAAATCCCAAGACAGAAGGAAAAGGGAACAGGAAGGGGTCTATCTGCTTCCTTGGTATTCTGGCCCCTTCTGCTCCTGGCTTCTCAAAGTTCCTGCCAATGAGCCCAAATGAGTTGAGTAACCAACAAATGGTAAGTGATTGCTTCTTTTGAATTTTTTTCTTAAAATCTAACTTACTTTATTAAAACTAGCTCATAACATATTAGACTACTTTAGGTTTCTGCTATACATTTTAAGCACTATGATACTACTTAAAACGGTCATAGGTAAAGATAAAGGTAAAGGGACCCCTGACCATTAGGTCCAGTCGTGACCAACTCTGGGGTTGCGGCGCTTATTGGCCGAGGGAGCCGGCATACAGCTTCTGGGTCATGTGGCCAGCATGACTAAGCCGCTTCTGGCGAACCAGAGCAGCGCATGGAAACGCCATTTACCTTCCCGCCGGAGCGGTACCTAGGAACAGCTACACAACTGCTATGTTGCTGCCTGGCTGTTTTGTTGTTGGCATCCATCTCTCTCAAAAGAAAATGAAATGTGCTTCCAGAGGCAAAGTCAACCATTGTAGCATCACAGCGCCTGCTGTGACTGAAGACGACAAGACCCCCTCTTGGCCTTGCTGATGTGGTCCAAAGGAAAGCAGAGGAATCCATTTGGCCTCAAGGATTTGAGACCCATTGGCTCCCCTCACCTGGTTTAGCCAGCCAGTGGAAGCCATTCCTGGGGTGTGGCTGCTGTTGCCTGCTAGGAGCCAAAGGTGAGAGCTGATCGCAGGGTGGGGACCAAGGGTGGGCAAACTACCGTATTTTTTGCTCTTTAAGACTCACTTTTTCCCTTCTAAAAAGTAAGGGGAAATGTGTGTGCGTCTTATGGAGCGAATGCAGGCTGCGCAGCTATCACAGAAGCCAGAACAGCAAGAGGGATTGCTACTTTCACTGCGCAGCGATCCCTCTTGCTGTTCTGGCTTCTGAGATTCAGAATATTTTTTTTCTTGTTTTCCTCCTCCAAAGTGCGTCTTGTGCGTCTTGTGGTCTGGTGCGTCTTATAGAGCGAAAAATACAGTACTTCAGAAAGAGTACTGTGTGTCCCCTAGCCCAGTGGAAATCCTTGGCTGGACAGCTCACCTGCTGCTTAAACACACCTTGCCTTGAACCTGGCTTTGCTGGGCAACTCCACAACTTTGCTAGGGACTCAATCTAGCTACACCAGGGAATGGGGCTAGCCAGGCCACCCCTACAACTCACCTAGTTTGGGGAAGACAATGCGATACTCCGTTCCACACTGTGGGCAGCTCACACTGCCTGTGCTGTTGCCTTTCTGCTTCTCATCCAGCCACCGCTGGAGGCAGGCCTGGTGGATCCATTTGGTGGAGCCTTTGCAGCAGCAGGGGCAGACCCACTCAGCTGAGCGGTCATCGCTCTCTGTGCCAAAACAGACCCAGCAGTGCCTGGGGGGGCGGGAGAGAGAGAGCATAGCTGTCACTTGTTCCACCAGTTTGAAGGGCAAGGTAAGGTTTTAAACTCCCTAAATCATAAGAGTGATATGTGATAGGATTAAGGTACATAGTATGGAAGGAGGATAAAATTATAAAGGAATTAAATAATTTTAAAAAGTTGAAATCTGTGTTACAAGTAAATGAGAGTTGGAAGATGAAGGTTGTCTTTGCAAGAGTACCATGAGAGCATGTAAGCAAGAGATTGTTATAACTGTTGTAGCCACAGAGATAAGAAAGTTGCAATGCCCCATGGTTAAACCAGTAGAAGCCAGTCTTGCCATATATTGACGTAACTGCCGCCATTGCTTGTGTGTAAATCAGTAGCTCTGAAAGGGTGTGGCAGGAGATGGCAAGTGTGGCAGGAAGATCCAAGAACAAAGAAAATGTAAACATTTCAGAATAGTATAGGATACTATTAGTGCAACGTAGTGCGCGTGCGTGCGCACACACACACACGCACACACACACACACACACACACACACACAGAGTGGTACTTTGGGTTACATACGCTTCCAGTTACATCCACTTCAGGTTACAGACTCCGCTAACCCAGAAATAATACCTTGGGTTAAGAACTTTGCTTCAGGATGAGAACAGAAATCGCGCGGCGGCAGCAGGAGGCCCCATTAGCTAAAGTGGTTCTTCAGGTTAAGAACAATTTCAGGTTAAGAACGGACCTCCAGAACAAATTAAGTACATAACCAGAGGTACCACTGTAAATGAATATGGGTAGATATGAGAGCAAGAGCATCAAACAACTCTCACCTATCATTCAGTTTCTATACATACTTAAGGTACATTTGTAAGAGGCTTACTTATAATTCTACTTTGGGAAGGATTTGTGCTCTTATGTAGCTGCACTATTTTATAATTTCTGGATCATACAGTATTATAAAGTGGATGTCTTCTATGTTATAAATCAAGCACTGTCAGGAGTTGCTTTTTTTTGTTTTCCAATATATTTCTTATCAATAAAAGAGCATGTTTTTATTCTGAAAGTCTGGCCCAGAGAAAAGAGCTTGAGAACCACTGGAATACAGGGTAGGCCAGGCTGTGTTTTCCAGGCTCAAGACCAGGACAGAGAACCTTCCCCCGACTTTTATTTCCCTGGGAGAAGTGGGTGGGCCGGGCCGAGGCTGCCTATCAGTAGTGCACAGGGCCAAAACTCACAAGCACCATCCATACCACCAGCATGGGCACAGACACGCCCTCTCCTTGCACAGCCCACAACCCACCTTCTTCCTCCTTGGGTAGCTTGGGGACAGGGCTCAGCCACACACCCCAGTCTCCACTGCAGAGCTGTTTCCGGGGCTCAGCTGAGCAGCTTGAGAGCAGGACACAGGATGGGGAGCTTTAACCACACTGCTCACCTGATTTGAAAGAAAGGTGAGCATCAAGAAGAAATGGCTGGGGCCTTGGAAGAGGCCAGGGGTTCAGATCAGGAGACGCACTGGGACCCATCCCTGCTCTAAAAGGAAAGCCATGGGAAGACAAAAGGGATTTCCCAGAGTCCAGCAGGTACTTGGGCTACAGGATGCTTTCCACATCGTTCAGGAATGTCTCCCTCTGACCACAGCCTGGACAGGAGCCTGTGGTCCCTGTTGGTTCCCCAGTGGTTTCCAAGACTATACCATCAGCCACGGTAATCCTTCTGTACTAGCACTGAAAACAGGTCCTGAGACATGCCTGAGGCACAGGTGTAGTGCAGGTCGGCACACCCAGCGTGTCCCAGTTACAGCACACAGAGTTTGAGTGTGTAAAGTGCTTTGATAAGGCTTCTAGTGGCCCTGTAATGTGATACTGCAGATGAAAGCATGAGGCTTGGGAAAGAACAGGAGCAAATATAGGAGTACGCAAGATCTAAATGTAGGACTTCCTGATTTGTGGCTCCTTGTTCTCAGTCACCTTGACATGATAGCTCACAAGACTCGTTCCCCACAGCTTGGCCATCAACCCCACGATCCTATGCATTTCTGCTCCGACATACCTGGGATTTCCTCCAGCCCAGCTATGTTTATAGCAGGGATGGGGAAACGGTAGGCCTCAAGATGTTGCTGGACTACAACTCCCATCATCCATGGCAACATCTGTATAATAAAGGGTTACAGCTGAAGGGTTGTATGCAATGCTAGGTCATCTTGGACCCACTGAAATCAGTGGATTCACGGCCATTGGTTGCAATGTGTTTACTCGGAGCAGAACTCACAATGGAGACAACCCTTATCGATCTGGATTTCTGCTGCTTGTCCTGAGTGAGACTGTGGGACTTCAGACATCTTTTATATAAGAGGTGCTCAACTGACAACATTTTCTGGGATGGGAAGCTTGCTTTAGAGACTCACCCTGATGTCTTCCCTCAGCACCAGGCAGCTGAAGGGCATTTCATTTCACCAATTTAGATTTAACATAGGATTGCTTTGATGTGGCTCTTACACCCTACTGTTTAATTACTCTAGTCTTTTATTTATTCTGTTTCTTTTCATTTATTTTATTTTATTGTAAGCCACATTTGGTATCTATCAGAGGGCAGCATTACCTTTTTATTAATATAAATACGGACAATCAAGCCGGTTTTTCTAAATGTGTGGAAAACCGGTTAGAGAGAGGCCTGTGTTCCTAAAAGAGCCTTCCCCAACCTGACGCCCTCCAGATGTTTTGGACTACAACACTCATGCGGTGGCAGTTGGGAGAGAAACTTGGGAAAGGCTGTCCTACGATCTGCTGTAGAGACGCTCATTTGTCTTTCTGGACAAAAAAGCGCTGCGAGGCTTTAAAGAAAATTGGGAGTTTAAATTTCCGTTTCACCCGAGCCCTTTCCGCCCAAGAAGCGCCCGTGGGGCCGAAGCCCACGGAAGGGGCCCTTGGAGCAGCCCCTCTCTCTATCGGCCGAGCCGGCTTCCCGGGGCTGCGGCGAAGCGAAGATGGAGGGGCGGCGGAGGAGAGAGCAAGGCCTCTTTCGGCTCTCGGGAAACGAAACCCGAAGCAGCCGCGGAGCCTCTTGGGGGCTTCCGAAGCGGCGGCCCGGTGGCCCCGCCGCCTTCGTGCCCGAAGGGCAAGAGAGGCTTGACATCCAAGATGCCCCCCCAACACCCACCTGGGCTATCCCTAGAAGGGGCTGAGGCGGCGGGGGGGAGAAGGGGCGGCCATTGGCACGAGCCCCCCTCCCCCCGGCCTGGCGCGCCGAGCCCAGCCTACCTCTCCGAGGCTTCCCCGGGGGCCGCCGCGTCTGCCATCGCCTGCCGTCAGCCCGGAGATGCGGCCCAGCGGCCGAGGCCTGGCCCGGCTTCCCGCTCCTGCTGGCCTCCGCCTGTGGCCGCGGCTGCACACGCAGCAGCTCGGCCGCGCCCGGCTCTTCTCCGCTCGCCAGGAGGAGCCTCACCTCGCCGCCAGGCCCCGAGACGCGCCCAAGGCCGGCTGAAGGCGGCGGGACTCGCTCCCCGGTGAGTGAATGGGGCGAGAATCGCAGCCCAGCCCCGCAGCGGCCGGAACACAGGGATTGTGCCGCTCCTTTGAGTTTCTCCAGGAAAGTCCCCACTCGGCCTTGGTACTCCAGGGGTTGACCTTGGCGAGGATGGACTAGCCCAAGCCTCCTTCTAGAAGGCTTAAAACTGGGCAGAGTACTTCCTCATTTTTCTTTCTTTTTGTTTCGTGCATCCGTCTAGTCACCTCAAAATAGGCTTTCCAGGTCTCCTGCTTTGACTCAGGACAGTCCTCTTTTGAAGGGCTGCCAGTCCTCTAGGTAAAAGCATCCTTCATTTTTCCAGAACCTGAAGAGCAGACCTTGCAGCACTCAGCTCTCCTGGCCACTCTTTCCCCTCTAGGGAGAGAGCTATTGTATTTAAGATTACTTTTTTCTAATTCTAATTAAAGGTAAAGGGACCCCTGACCATTAGGTCCAGTCGTGACTGACTCTGGGGTTGCGGCGCTCATCTCGCTATACTGGCCGAGGGAGCCGGCGTACAGCTTCCGGGTCATGTGGCCAGCAGGACTAAGCCGCTTCTGGCGAACCAGAGCAGCGCACAGAAACGCCGTTTACCTTCCCACAGAAGCGGTACCTATTTATCTACTTGCACTTTGATGTGCTTTCGAAATGCTAGGTTGGCAGGAGCAGGGACCGAGCAACTTTTATGCAAAGCATGCTCTCCCTTTGGATGTGTAAGTGGGGCACCCTACCTCAAAAGCCCCCTAGAGCAGGCATGGGGAACCTGTTGCCCTCCAGAGGTTACTGATGTTTTAATCTGTTGGACGCCACCCGGAGTGGCTGGGGCAACCTAGTCAGATGGGTGGCATATAAATAATAATTTAGTATTAGTATTAGTAGTATTGGGCTGCAGCACTCATCTTCCCAGATCATTAGCCACTCTATCTTTGCCCCCAAAAGACAGCCTTCCAGTAACCCGGGGGCGGCGGCTTTTGGCCCTCCAGATGTTGCTGAACGACTCCTCTAATCAGCTCCAGCATAGCTAACAGCCAGGAAGAAGAGAAGAGTTTGATTTGATATCCCGCTTTATCACTGCCCTAAGAAGTCTCAAAGCGGCTAACATTCTCCTTCCTCCCCCACAACAAACACTCTGTGAGGTGAGTGGGGCTGAGAGACTTCAAAGAAGTGTGACTAGTCCAAGGTCACCCAGCAGCTGCAGGTGGAGGAGTGGAGATGTAAACCCGGTCCACCAGATTACAAGTCTAATAATAATAATAATAATAATAATAATTTATTATTTATACCCCGCCCATCTGGCTGAGTTTCCCCAGCCACTCTGGGCGGCTCCCAATCAGTGTTAAAAACAGTACAGCGTTACATATTAAAAATTTCCCTGAACAGGGCTGCCTTAATATGTCTTCTGAATATCAGGTAATTATTTATCTCTTTGACATCTAATGGGAGGGCGTTCCACAGGGCGGGCGCCACTACCGAGAAGGCCCTCTGTCTGGTTCCCTGTAGCCTCACTTCTCGCAATGAGGGAACCGCCAGAAGGCCCTCGGCGCTGGATCTCAGTGTCCGGGCTGAATGATGGGGGTGGAGACGCTCCTTCAGGTATACAGGACCGAGGCCGTTTAGGGCTTTAAAGGTCAGCACCAACACTTTGAATCGTGCTCGGAAACGTACTGGGAGCCAATGCAGGTCTCTCAGAACCGGTGTTATATGGTCCCGGCGGCCACTCCCAGTCACCAGTCTAGCTGCCGCATTCTGGATTAATTGCAGTTTCCGGGTCACCTTCAAAGGTAGCCCCACGTAGAGCGCGTTGCAGTAGTCCAAGCGTGAGATAACTAGAGCATGCACCACTCTGGCGAGACAGTTCGCTGGTAGGTAGGGTCTTAGCCTGCGTACCAGGTGGAGCTGGTAGACAGCTGCCCTGGACACAGAGTTAACCTGCGCCTCCATGGACAGCTGTGAGTCCAAAATGACTCCCAGGCTACGCACCTGGTCCTTTAGGGGCACAGTTACCCCATTCAAGACCAGGGAATCCCCCACACCAACCCGCTCCCTGTCCCCCAAAAACAGTACTTCTGTCTTGTCAGGATTCAACCTCAGTCTGTTAGCCGCCATCCATCCTCCAACCGCCTCCAGGCACTCACACAGGACCTTCACCGCCTTCACTGGTTCTGATTTAAAGGAGAGGTAGAGCTGGGTGTCATCTGCGTACTGATGAACACCCACTCCAAACCCCCTGATTATCTCTCCCAGCGGCTTCATATAGATATTAAAAAGCATGGGGGAGAGGACAGAACCCTGAGGCACCCCACAAGTGAGAGCCCAGGGGTCTGAACACTCATCCCCCACCACCACTTTCTGGACACGGCCCAGGAGGAAGGAGCGGAACCACTGTATGACAGTGCCCCCAGCTCCCAACCCCTCTAGACGGTCCAGAAGGATGTTATGGTCGATGGTGTCAAAGGCCGCTGAGAGATCCAGCAGAACTAGGAAACAGCTCTCACCTTTGTCCCTAGCCCGCCGGAGATCATCAACCAGTGCGACCAAGGCAGTTTCAGTCCCATGGTGAGACCTGAATCCCGATTGGAAGGGATCCAAATGGTCCGTTTCCTCCAGGCGTGCTTGGAGTTGTTCAGCAACCACCCGCTCAATCACCTTGCCCAAGAATGGCAGATTTGAGACTGGGCGATAGTTGGCCAAATTGGCCGGGTCTAAAGATGTTTTTTTAAGAAGCGGTTTAATGACCGCCTCTTTCAGCGGGTCTGGGAAGGCTCCCTCACAGAGGGAAGCATTCACCACCCCGCAGAGCCCATCGCCCAGCCCTTCCCGGCTCGCTTTTATCAGCCAGGATGGGCAAGGATCAAGGAGACAGGTGGTCGGTTTCACTTTTCCAAGCAGCCTGTCCACATCCTCGGAGGTAACAGACTGGAATTGATCCCATGTAACAGGACCAGACAGAACTCTAGCACTCTCCCGCCCTGGCCCTGCTCCCACGGTGGAGTCTACCTCCTTCTGAATCTGAGCGATTTTATCTGCAAAAAACTTTGCAAAAGCATTGCAGGAGATCTTGGGGTCCCTACCAGGCCCCGGTGGTACAGGTGGTTCCGATAGATTGCGAACCACCTGAAAAAGTCTCCTGCTGCTGTTTTCTGCAGATGCAATGGAGGCGGCGAAGAAGGCCCTCTTCGCCGTCGCCATTGCCACTTGGTAGGCTCGACATTGAGCTCTAACCCGTGTCCGGTCTGATTCAGAATGAGTTTTCCGCCACCGGCGCTCTAGCCGTCTCAACGATTGTTTCATCACCCTCAGCTCCGGGGAAAACCACGGGGCTGTCCGGGCTCCATGCAATCGGAGAGGGCGCTTCGGAGCCAGACAGTCAATAGCCCTGGTTAACTCCGCATTCCAGCGTGCCACCAGGGAATCAGCTGAAAGGCCATCAACTTGGGATAAAGCATCCCCTACCACTCTCTGGAAGCCAATTGGATCCATTAAGTGGCGGGGGCGGACCATCCGAATCGGTCCCACCTCCCTGCAGAGGGGAAGGGTTGCGGAGAAGTCCAGTTGCACCAGGAAGTGATCTGACCATGGCACTTCTTTTGTTTCGCTTTTAGTTAGTGTCAGATCACCAACATCCATAGAGGTGAACACCAAGTCTAAGGCATGTCCATGGCTATGAGTTGGGCCAAACTTATTCAGGGACAGCCCCATGGAGGCCATGCTTTCCACGAAGTCCCGAGCGGCCCCTTGTAAGGTCGTGTCGGCATGGATGTTAAAATCCCCCAGGACAACCAAGCTAGGTGTCTCCAGGAGCATATCCGCCACGACCTGAAGCAGCTCGGGCAGGGAATCCTTGGTGCAGCGGGGAGGTCGGTACACCAGTAGGAATCCTGTACTGCCCCTATTGCCCAACTTCCAGAACATGCACTCAGAGAACTGGGTCTTCCCAATAGGACGCCTGGTGCAGACTAATGACTTCCTAAAAATCACTGCAACCCCCCCTCCCCGCCCACATGACCTGGGTTGCTGTGCGTAAGAGAAGCCTGGTGGGCAAGCAGCGGCAAGGACAGGCCCATCTGCTTCATCCAACCAGGTCTCTGTCACACATGCCAGGTCAAATCGTCCATCCACAATCAGGTCGTGGATGGCAGTGGTTTTATTCATCATTGACCTGGCATTGCACAGCAACACTTTCAGGTCATGTGGGTTTCCCTTGCTGATTCCAGTATCCTTCCGGTCAGGACCAGACCTGGAGGCAGGAATAGTCCTCAGACAACAACTAAACCTGCCTCCTCGGTAATGACATGGTCTGGTCTTAGCGTAACTCCTCCTCCTACCCATGATCACTGAGATCGGTTGTCCCAGTGCATCCCCCCCTGTGGAACATGCCCCAGCCATTTTGTTTGCTGGGACCCACTCCCAGGCAGCCCTGACCCCACCCCTTAAAAAGCAAAATACAAATTATATAATAATTTAACAGAATAATAATAATAATAATAAAACAAAACAGAACAAAATAAAACAAGAAACAATAGCGCTGACTAAATGCTTATCCCTCCCCAAGCAAAAATAAAATAGTAAAATAATATAATATTATAAAAAACAACAACAACCATTTAAGGTGCTGCAAATTAAAAACAATTAAAACATTTAAAACCATTTTGTCCATTGCTGCCGGTAGCTGCTCAGGCCTCTAAACTGTAGTGGTAGTGCAGGCCCCGCCCCCTAGGCCGGATGGAGTTGGCAGAGGAGGGAGCAGTCTTCCCAACACTCACACAAGCAGCAACAGCAGCCGTGTCCCGGAGGCCTCTCTCAGGCCTCTTATGCTGTGACGGTGAGTGCAGGCCCCGCCCCCTAGGCCAGATGGAGTTGGCAGAAGAGGGAGCGGTCCTCCCAACACTCACACAAGCAGTAACAGCAGCCGTGTCCCAGAGGCCTTGATGGAGGCCCTGGCAGTGAGTGCAGGTCCTGCCCCCTAGGCCGGATGGAGTTGGCAGAGGAGGGAGCAGTCTTCCTAACACTCACACAAGCAGCAGCAGCAGCCGTGTCCCGGAGGCCTCTCTCAGGCCTCTTATGCTGTGACGGTGAGTGCAGGCCCCGCCCCCTAGGCCAGATGGAGTTGGCAGAAAAGGGAGCGGTCCTCCCAACACTCACGCAAACAGCAACAGCAGCCGTGTCCCAGAGGCCTTGATGGAGGCCCTGGCAGTGAGTGCAGGTCCTGCCCCCTAGGCCGGATGGAGATGGCAGAGGAGGGAGCAGTCTTCCCAACACTCACACGAGCAGTAACAGCAGCCGTGTCCCGGAGGCCTTGATGGAGGCCCTGGCAGTGAGTGCAGGTCCTGCCCCCTAGGCCGGATGGAGTTGGCAGAGGAGGGAGCAGTCTTCCTAACACTCACACAAGCAGCAGCAGCAGCCGTCTACCGCTCTTAACCACACTGGAAGAATGGGAGTTGTCCTTCAGCAACATCTGGAGGGCCAAAGTTCCCTAGCACCTGCAATAAACCTACCTGGGAATCAAATGAACATTGCAACTCTCATTCCAACCTTGCTTGCTTATTCCTTCTATTGACATTTTATTTGGTTGGAGTTTCTTCCTGGCCCCTCCTTTTTTGTGGATACACATAAATTAAATGGCATTGTTGCACATTCAGAATAGAAAGATGAAAGGTCAGAAGGAATCACAAGCTATCTAAATGTAGAGTGCTGAGATCCAGTGCAGAGTATTGCTCTTGGGCTGGAGAGGCCTAGATTTAAATCCTTGCTCCCAAATTCACTGGTGATTTTGCATGGATCACCATCAATCTGCTGAACCTCCTACACAGAGTTGTTGTGAAGGTGGAATGTGGGGAAAGGACATTTAGGCTGCCCTGAACTGTTGGGAGGAGTGCCAGCCTGCAAATGTAGGGAACTCCTTTGCTCCACAGGGCCACCCACCACTGTGGGAAAGATCCCAGGAGAAGACACCCGTGGGCTAGCTCCTCTCCTCTCTCTACCATCAGCTGCCCAGAGGGAAAGATCCTGATGAGTTTTAGAGTAGATACTGTGAAATGTGGCTATAAAACACACACATTTTAATGTTATTTTTCCATTGCCTGGGAAATATTCATATCCTAAAAGAAGGGATATCAATGACTATACTAGATAAGTATGCTGAATAAAATGGATTCTGGAAGACATGATGGTGATTATTATTTATTATGTTTGTTCACAACTTTTTACAAGACATCTCATAGCAACTTACCGTGAAGGGAGTTTGCCAGGTTTGAAGTGGACTCTGGTCCCCAAAGGCTTATGCCAAAAGAAATTTATTAATAACTGGTCCATACAGAAACGCCGTTTGCCTTCCCACCACAGTGGTACCTATTTATCTACTTGCGCCAGTGTGCTTTCGAGTGTGCAGGAGCTGGGACAGAGCAACGGGAGCTCACCCTGGCGTGGGGATTCGAACCACCGACCTTCCGATCGGCAAGCCCAAGAGGCTCAGTGGTTTAGACCACAGCGCCACCCGCGTCCCAGGTGAAGCAGAGGCTGTCCCTGCACTCCTGCTGATCTTTGCAGCGCCAATGATCAAGATGGCACTGACTTGTGAGGCCTGGCACAAAGACTGCACTTTATTTACTTGTGATCAGTGAAGAGGCCTCACCAACACTTTGGCATCACAGGCTGCTAGCATTTTTCATCCCCCTGCTCAGTTTTGCCAGGATCCAACTGCCCCCTCGCCCTCCACCCCACCCAAAGCTTTACATCTCTTGTTTCCACCTCCAGTCTCTAGGAGAGGCAGAGAGAAGGCCCCAGGTTCAGCTCCTCCATAGCATCCCCAAGTAAGGATCCCCTCCCAAAAAAAAACCAGTCTGAAACCTTGGAGGGGCCACAGCCAGCCAGTGTAGGCCACATTGAGGTGACGGACCCCTGCTCTGTCGCATTCACTCACCACGCCCTGCCAGAGGAGAAGCCCATTTGCTGAGTTGGTGCGCACTTCCAGCTCTATCGTCTCCGGTGAGTCCGGGAGGCTGCAACCAAGCCAGGTGGAAAAATCAAAATTGGAAACAGAACTGTTAGATCCCAAAACCAAGACTTTGTCAAGGATGTATAACTTGCTGTTGAAATGGAACACGCAGGATGAAACGGTGAAATCTGCTATGATTAAGTGGGCTCAAGATGTTGGACATAATATGATGGCTGACTGGGAACAGTTATGGACCACAGGTATGAAGTTTACGGCATGTAATGCCTTAAGAGGGAATATTATGAAAATGATATACAGGTGGTACATGACCCCAGTCAAGCTTGCCCAAGGATTAAGGCTTTTTGGGAGATGATATATAATGAAATGAAAAAGGTATTTAAATATACCTTTCTGAAGAAACCAGAGGCCTTTCTTCTGGGCATGGTCGGCCAATTGGTGTCAAAGAAGGACAGAACTTTTTTTATGTATGCTACAACAGCAGCGAGAATACTTATTGCAAAGTACTGGAAGACACAAGATCTACCTACCCGGGAAGAATGGCAGATGAAGTTGATAGACTATATGGAGTTGGCAGAAATAACCGGCAGAATTCGAGACCAGGGTGAAGAGTCGGTGGAAGAAGTTTGGGGAAAATTTAAAGTATATTTACAGAAATATTGTAAAATTAATGAATGTTAGGAGGTTGTTGGAAAGAAGGTATTGGGCTTTAGTAGAAATGTTGCTAAGAATTAAGTAAGAAATAGATCGACTATGGTTAAAGTGTAAAATTTAAGGCTAAATTGCATTAAGAAAAAGTTGGGATTTAAATTGGTGAAAAAGGGAAAGGACTTGCTGAAATAATTAATTGAACTGGAATGCAAAGAGGGAGGTTTGAGGAAGTCAAGGAAATAAGCAAATGTAAAATAAGGATATGAAAACATGGGTTTTTTCTTTTTCTTTTTTAAATGTTTGTGTTTTTAAAATGTTTTTGTCTTTTTGCTGTTTTTGCTTTTCTTTTTCTATATTTTTTCTTTCTTTTTATTGTATCTTTTTATTGTTTGTTCCTCGTTTTTTTTTTGTATTTGTTAAAACTTTAATAAATATTTATTAAAAAAAAGAAGAAGTAGTAGTTTCCACAGTCTGTGTTGATTTGGGGAGCCATGTCATAGCTGTGATCTATTTCTGTGATACAGCGGCATATAATTTATTTTTTAAAATAAATGCATAAAAACATACCGTATTGGCCTGAATATAAGCCGCACCTGAATATAATCCGCACCTTTTAAACTGGGGGGGGGGGAATACCTGAATATAAGCTGCTCCCTTCCTCGCTGTTCCTGGGTGCATACTAGGCGGGGGGAGGTGCACTGCGTTGCTGGTGGCCTTCCACTTTCTTTGCTGTCTTCCTTGGGGGAGAGGATGGGGTACTACGTGTGGGGCGGGCGCCGCTTTGCTGTTCTCCTGGTACTGTTTGCCCCGCGTTCCTGGCTGCACACCGTAAGGTTGCGCGTATAAACTTCACTTTAACTTTTCACGGTCAGAATTTGGGGGGGAAATGTGGCTCATATTCAGGCCAATACGGAGAAAACAGCAAAAACCTGATGAAGAGAGCACAGCAGAGGGTATATTTTCTGAGAATCTTCCGGAAAAACAATCTCTCAAAGGGCCTGTTGATGGCATTTTACCATTGTACTGTTGAGAGTGTATTAACTTATGGTCTGTGTGTGTGGTTTCGGAGTTGCATGGTCAGGGGAAAAACAATGCTGTCCAGGGTTGTAAAGACTGCAGAGAGAATAACTGGGTGCACTCTTCCCACCTTGGATCAAATCTACGCTTCCAGGTGCCATAAGAAAGCTGCAGAGATAGCGCAGAATAGTGCGCACCTCGGAAATGATCTCTTTCAGCTTCTGCCTTCTGGAAGACGGTCCAGGGTTATAAAGACTAGGACTAGCCGCCTGAGAAACAGTTTCTACCTAATTGCGATTTTGGTTTTAAATGCATTGTAAGGAGTCTGTATGGGAGTATATTGTATTTAAAAATGGGGTATCAGAGTTTTTAGGGGGCTTTCAAGGAACCAGGTAGAGGGTGTTGCTCTTGTGCTGGTGTCCTGCTCCCTGGTTTCCCACTGGCACCTGCTTGGCCACTGAGTAGGGGATGCTAGACTAGATGGATCTGGTGCAGCAGATTCTTATGTTTATTTTTTTGCGGGGGGGGGGCGGACACGAACACTGGATGACCTGCTTCTTAGCCATGGCAACCTCTTTTTTGTGAGAGTGCGACCTGTCGCTGACCTCCTTTATCATCTATACTTTGTCAAGGGCTGCATCAACACCATCATTTTCTGACACGTAACGTGTGAGTGCGTCGCCGGTAAAGCAGTAGCTCACTCGACTACCCATTCACAATCCTGACCTCAGCATATTTCCATGAAAGCAAACCCTTATGTTTCCCCCCGGGATTTACTTCCGAGGAGGCAGCCGCAACACCCAGCGCGGACTCGCCTCAGGCAGCTCAGGGCGGGGAGCAAAGCGACGCCTCTGGCCCTTTAAGAGCCGCGCTATGACATCACTCCCCCTTCCCCGCTCCCTCCCGCAGCGTGCCCGCTCCACTAAGCTTGATGCGGAAGACCCGCCCCTCGCAGCCGAGCGGGCCAATAGCTTGGCAGCTGTCAAGGCTGGAGCCGCACCCGGGCAGGCGCATCTCCGGCTTGTTGGTGGCTGTCGGGGGTTCTGATTAGGCGAGGGAGCGTGAAGCGGCGCTTGGTCCCGCCTCTCTCCGCGGCGGACACAGGCAGCGGGCTGCGTTGCGCCGCACTGGGTGGTGGTTCCCGGGCCACGGCAGCGGCGGCGGCGAATCGCGGAGTCCTGGGCCCGGCTTGGCCCCGCGGCGGCGGCCCCGGCCATGGAGTCCTACGATATCATCGCCAACCAGCCCGTGGTGATTGACAATGTAAGCGGGGCGGCGGGGCCGGGAGCGCGGGCGCCGGAAGAGGAGCCGGGTCCGGGTGGGGCCTGGGGGCCTGCGCTGGCGGACGCGCCCCGCCCGGCCCCGATCCCGGCGAGGCCCAGGCGCCCTGCTCCCTTGAGTCGGCTGGACGAGCCCGGCTTCCGAAAGGCCAGCGCGGGCCTGAAACCCCCTCAGCCTGGGAGAAGGAGCGGGCCATCGGGCCCCGTTAAAAAGAAAAGGCGCTGTTCGCAGCCCGGGCTGTTGTTATTCAATGCCCGTTGTGAGGTGGGGGTGGGGGGCCTTGTTGCTGCTGCTGCCCGAAGAGAGCATCGCCAAGGAGAGCAGAAGCCGAGGACGTTTCCCGCTCGGGAGGATCGGGGCCCCGCTTCCCTCCCGCTGCCGGGGGGGGGAGCCGCTGCCCGCCAGACTTAAGAACAGCAGCAGCAGCAGCATCTGCTAGATCAGGCCCAGGGCCTCTCTGGGGAGGGGGAAAGGGGATGTTGTGGGACTGCAACTCCCATCAGGCCAGACCATTTGCGGGTAAGGGCTGATAGGAGGTGTAGTCAACAATGTCTGAGGGAGCCGCCTTTTTGACTGCCCCCGGCTTTTCTATTCAAGCCAACAAGCAAGTCATGAAGGGACTAGCTCTCCTGTTCTCCAGTGCTGAAGAGTTTAGGGGACTCAGATCCTGAAAATGGCATATAGCCATCATGGTCATGTAACATAACAAAAAATAGTTTTAGATGTTTTCAAGGTAAGGATTGCAAAGCAATATACATAAAATCATTAAAACAGTAAATTGCATTTATAGTGTTGGGAAACCCCTTGCTTTACATGCATTCTTTAAAACCAGGTTTGAATTCCTGTTAAAAGGATCAAGTTAGCAAATGATTGGAAAGGGTCTCTGCCTGAAAGTCTGGAGAGAGAGAGAATTGGACTAAGAAGGATCTAGGATTTTTGTCTTCACAACTGGAACTCCAATATCTGCTATGGGAATTGAATCTGGAGGATTGTCATGGCACTTCTGTTTGTTTTACAAAATAATACTTAAGTCTGAATTGTATTAACAATCATTACTAAACCATTCCTTATAGTGCTATTGTTGCCGTTATTGCTGTTGTACAGCACATTCTATTAAGAAGTTATCATGCTTAGTTATTAAGTTGTGTAATAACTTTGTTGTTGATACTAGCTTTTGGTGATTAGGACTAAAAGTAACTTTGCATTCTTAGCGCTTGGCATTCTTAGCAGCATCTTTCCTCTCCATATTAGTAGTAGTAGTAGTAGTAAGGTAAAGGGACCCCTGACCATTAGGTCCAGTCACAATCAACTCCGGGGTTGCGGCGCTCATCTCGCTTTATTGGCCAAGGGAGCCGGCATACAGCTTCGTAGTAGTAGTAATAATAATTTTATTATTTATACCCCACCCATCTGGCTGGGTTTCCTCAGCCACTCTGGGCGACTTACAGCACATAAAAAATTGTAAAACATTAGACATAAAAATTTTCCCTAAGCAGAACTGCCTTCGGATGTCTTCTAAAAGTCAGATAGTTGTTTATTTCCTTGACATCCGATGGGAGGGCGTTCCACAGGGCGGACGCAACTACCAAGAAGGCCCTCTGCCTGGTTCTCTATAACTTCATTTCTCGCAATGAAGGAACCGCCAGAAGGCCCTCGGTGCTAGACCTCAGTGTCCGGGCAGAATGATAGGGGTGGAGATGCTCCTTCAGGTATGCAGGACCCACGCCATTTAGAGCTTTAAAGGTCAGCACCAACACTTTGTAAGAATATAGTGGGTGGAACCCAACATTGTGGGAGTGGACTTCCACTCATGCAGTGGGAATTTATCCTTTTCCCACCTCCTCAACCTTCCAAACACTGCTGTAGCCATCCAGAGCAGATTTTGAGGGCACATGGGAGACAAGTGGAGAGGAGAAGAAGGTGAAGCCCCATTGCTTGAGCAGCATCGGATGTCACATCCCACAATATAAACGGCAGCTGAAAATCTGCCACTTAGGTAGGTCACCTCAGCCAGCTTACTTGAAGGCTTAACTATATTGTCACTTACTACTCTTGCATTCACCGTTTGTAGGAATCATAATATGTAAAAAATAAAGAAGGAAAACAAGTGCAAAAAATAATGATACCATACCTTGTATACCATACCATGCCCTTTATTTATTTATTTTGTTTAAAATGATATTTATTAAGAATTTAAAATTACAGAAAAAAAGGAGAAAAAAAAGAGAAAAAAGAGATTAAACAGTACAAGTCAATAAAAAGAAATCAGGGCTTCTCAGTAGTGGCCCCTCCTTGTGGAATGCCCCCCCCCATCAGATGTCAAAGAAATAAACAATTATATGACTTTTAGAAGACATCTGCAGGCAGCCCTGTATAGGGAATTTTTAAATGTTCGATGTTTTACTGTGTTTTATGTTTTGTTGAAAGCCGCCCAGAGTGGCTGGAGCAACTCAAGTCAGATGGGTGGGTGATGATGATTATTATATTTGCAGTTATCATCTATTCATTATTGCTAAATACCTTATGAATGGAAAATGTACCCCAGAAAAATAAAGATTGGAAATATTTTCAGAAAATTTTCCAGTTTGGATTTGTTTTCACAGAAAATTTTCCGCTGCATATGCATGTCATGTATGGAGAAAAATTGTGTAGGTATTGAATCTTGTTAGAGGTGGAGATGCGATGTAATGCTGTGGCAAAACTGTGGACGTCCTCTTTTTTGTCTGATGGCTGTCTAGCGATGGTTTCCAACACTATAAAGGCAAATTTTGCCTGAAAGAATCCTTATATATACTGACCAAACTCTGGATTTTCCAAAGTACTGCCCTCTGGAGTCCATTCTTCAGCTTTGAGATGACATGTGCTCACTAGCTGTACTTTCCAGAAACAATGGAAGACATTTTTGTTTTGAAAAGTTTTCCAGGTAGACAAAAAGCTCTCTGCCTTCGGTATTAATTTTGTATTTATTGTTTTTAAACTTGTTTTCTGTACTCTTTTAAAAACTATTTTTAGCTGTTTGGGGGTATGTTTGTTGAAGATATAACTTGTAGGAGCGTTCATAGTCTTGGGAATGGAAAGGTGCCTGGAGAATTCCCTGTCTGCAATGTTTCCAGGTTCCCCATGTTCCTTTCGGATAAAAGTACAAGTACAAGAAGAGGGCAAGTACAAGAAGAGGAACACAGAAGAAGTGTCTGGCATTGGATTTTCTAGGAAAGTGACTTTGCTGATGGCTCTTGTCTTCCGATAGCTCTTGTCTTCGGACTGTTTTCCGTGTAAAGGTCTTTGGCCTGTTTATGCTCATTGCTGGGGTGTGTCTGTGAAAGAGACTTGCTTATTCATGCTGCGAAGAAATAATTAGGAACAGGAATGAGAGCAGCCCAGCCTCATAGCTGCTTTTGGAGGCTGGCAAGACTAGTCAGCTGAGCTGCTACATGATCCTCCAGGATGGGCACAGTAGGGTTTTTCACTGACTGCTATTCACTTTTGGGGGGCACTTGTTCTCTTTTCATTCATAGAAGGTGCTGAATCGTGGACCTTGTCACTAGGCCGGGGTGGGGGGACTGGCTGCCTTTCTACACAGCCATTGGGAATCTTTGTCATTGGCCTGGAGAACTAAGAGGCAGATCTTGTGACTGAAAGAAAATCAGGCTCAACTTCTATTCTTGGTTTGGATTCTTGCACCATGGGAAGTTATTTCCCTGCACTCCCTCTGCCTTGGCTTCCACATTTCTGAGATGAAGCCGTGATTTTGACCCTTTGGGAGTGGGGCCAGAGGGCCATCTAATCAGGGTCTTAAACTCAGCTTTCCAGGGTTTTGGAGGCAGACCTCTGATCTGAGATCTCTTAATCTTGTCTGCAGCCCTTCCTCTTTTAATTGCCTTTAATTTGGCTTGGAGGAAGCTGTGGGCGGCCACAGTCTATGCCCCCATGGGGTTGTAATTGGTATGGGCCTTGGCCTTGGTTTTACAGAGTGGTTTGGTTTTACCAGCAGGCTAGGAATTTTGGTACTAAGCCCTACTCATGAAAAACATATGATGCTACCTCATACCCCGTGTATCCCAGAACTGTCATCTCTGACTAGTAATGTTCTCTGGATTCTCAGGCCATGATCATCCCCAGCCTTTTGTGTAACTGGAGATGCCAGGGACTTCAGCATGCTGTGTGAAGCATGGAGTCAGTCACTGAGTTATGGTCCTTCCCATTGGTAATGTTGGAAGGAAAGGACTTATGTGAGGCATTTGTATGCCTCAAGTGCTTTGCAAGTTATGTGCATGTTATCTTTCAATCTGTGGTGACTCAGGAACTACCGGTAAATAGAAGCTGAAAGGTGACTTAAACCCAAAAGAGGAACGGAGGTCATGGTGTAAGTTTTGAAGTAATGGCTGCTGGTCAGTCCTCATGAGTTTTAGGAAATGTTTCTCAGAATTTGTCTTTTCCCTTTCTCTCTTAACTGGTTTTTCTTCTTTCTTCAGGGTTCCGGTGTGGTGAAGGCTGGTTTTGCTGGAGATCAGATCCCCAAATACTGCTTCCCAAACTAGTGAGTGTTGCTGTGATATTTGATTGTTTGCCTCATCAATAATAAAGTGTGGTAGTTTTTGAAGACAATATGTGCTTAGTGAGGCTGTGTTTTTGTTTTGTTTTAATTTCACTTGCCATGGTTCATAACACTCAACCTGGCAGTGTAGACAGATAATCAGGCTCTTTTTTTCTTGTCAGTGTGGGCCGTCCAAAACATGTCCGGGTTATGGCTGGGGCGCTGGAAGGAGACCTTTTCATTGGACCCAAAGCAGAGGTAAAGTCCACCTTGCCTCTTTGGGGGGAGGGGGGGTGTTGACTCCCTATTTTGTGTGTGTTCCCTTTGCGTTTGACAGAAACATTTTGTAGCCGTCATCCCGTAGGGTTGTAGCTAACAAAGTCCCACTTAAAGTAGAAAGATCATTAAGAACATAGATAATTGATCGTGTGGTGGATATGCATGCCTGCCTGCTGCAAAGGTTGTGGGTGTTGCACATTGCCTAGATAGCCTAGTAGAGAGTGCTGGGGAGGAGCTAGTGGCGCATGTTGGTATTAATAACATGGGGAAATGTAGTCATGAGATCCTGGAAGCCAAATTTAGGTCGCTGGTAGGATGCTGGAGGCTGGGACCTCCAAGGTAACTTTCTCTGAAATGCTACTGGTACCATGTGCAGGACTAACTTTGTAGTTTCAATGAGTGGATGAGTCAGTGGTGTCGAGAGGAGGAGTTGGATTTGTTGGGCATTGGGGAATATTGTGAGGGAAGCCAGGCCTGTACAAAAGGGACAGGCTCCACTTGAGCCAGGATAGAAACAGACTGCTGGTGCCCAAAATGAAAAAAAGGTGGCAGAGCAGTTTTAAAACTGATTGGCATTGTGTGGTGTGGGGCTGACAGGAGCGGAGGAGGGTCTGGCTCAGAACAAATCTCCCTTAGGATGAAGAAGATAAAATTGATGAAAATTTAAAGGGGGGTGGCATAGAACAAGGCACTGTGAGTGCAGGGGCACAGGATGGCAGCTCAGAGAGACCAAAGCACCACAGTTAAAATGCAAGAGACTTGGAAGAGAGAGACTGGCCAGATATGTGCAAGCTCTAAGGTTAGAAGGCTCCTGGCCAAGATGGGCAAACCAGAGTGCTAGGTCTTAGCAGACAGCACTGGTATAGTGGGGATAACGGCATCCTGGTGGAGTGCAGAGAACCAGGAGGACACAGTTACCTCCACATGTAAACTCTATAGGAAAGACATACCGGAGGGAGTGTCACTCTGTATGTCAAAGAAGGCATTGAGACCAGCTAGCTAGAAATCCCCAAAGGGGCAGGCTCCCCCACAGAAGCATTGTGGGTTGTGATACTGCACCCCAAAGCCATTGAGTACCGGGGACATGCCATTATCCTCCTGATCAAAATGCTCTTGCTCCAACATATTGCTTACTCTTTCCTTGCGCAGGAGCATAGAGGATTGTTATCTATCCGGTATCCCATGGAACACGGCATTGTCCGGGACTGGAATGACATGGAGAGGATCTGGCAGTATGTTTATTCCAAAGATCAGCTGCAGACGTTCTCAGAAGAGGTAATAGTTGCAAGAACAATGCTTCTAGCCAGCCTTTGAATATTAGCATTAGGTGGGGGGCTGGGAAATTGCATTTGCTGTACCTTTATGTGACACTTCCCCTTAGCTGCTGTTTTAGACAGTTACAATGCAGGCAGTCCAGGGGTGAGGTGTGGATTTCATTAAGGAAATCTACATCCCCCCTCCTCATAGGAAGTTGAGTACTGCTGCTTTGGCTTGTGATTCTCTTGCTTGCTTCCCAGTTCGGAGCCTGGTCAAGTGCCAAAAGGAAACATGAGTGATGATGCTCTCAGACTCTCCTCCTGCCAAAATAGGGTCATGGGAAACATGGTGGAAATCCCTTTCACCTGTAAGCTGTGAGCCTGCACAATCTCTGAGGCAAAAGGCAGCCTTGGGATAGATGTGGCTGGAAGGTGACTATCTTCTACTGTCAGTCCTGGAGAGTGTTATTACTGATCCATTGGGTGACCTTCACAGTCTGATCCTTCGTGCCCTGAGGAGGACCTTCTTCTGTACGAACCTCTCCGGCCACAGGAGGCCTTGAGGAGGCAGTCTTGCTCACGTTGGGGACGGAGGACTGCTTGATGAGCATTCAAAGTCCAGCTTCTTTCTGCATCAGCAATGTGGTGGTCCCTCTGGGAGCTTGGCAGGGCATGCCTGGTTTTTTCCAGGCCTATGACTGTTAACCCTTCCTAGGAAAATAGTTTCTGGCTGGTGTTTTTTTGGTGCCTGTCAAGGAGACGCCACATTTCTTAATTTTCTGTGTTTAACATGTGGACTTTTAATCTCTTTAACTCAAGGGGAAAAGAACTAGAGGCATATCTTAACAGAGAATTAAACGTTCACCCTATCCCTGGAAAGATGTTTGTCGTTCCCTGCAAGTTGATTCTCAGAAGGAAACCTTGAATTCCTTCTGGGGTGGGCAGATATGGAGGGGTTTCACCCTCTGGGTCCTTGTGCTGGTTCTTTACTAATCCTGAAGAAAGGCAGCAGCCACACTTCTGGCTGTTGTGATGCAGGTCTGCTGGGAAGTTGAGGAGACTTGGAGGGAGGGACACTGTATTCCGCAACATCAGTGGATCAAATTATTCCTGGAGAAGAGCGGTTTGATAGAAAGGTCAACAGAACATTTAACAGTTCCCTCAGTTTTAATGGATGTGCTGCATTTAGCATTTTAATGTGTGTATCATTTTAGGAGCCAACAGCTTCTAGTAGTAAAACCAGAGCATCACTTCCTGAAGGGGCTTCTGTGAGGGCAGCTTAGCAGAACTTGGAGCAGGCTACCAGGAAAGAGTGTGTGGACCTCCTCCAGTGAATAGCATGTGGGCATTCAGCCAGTTTTCCCCACGACTGTCACTTCCTGCTTTCCTTCCAGCATCCAGTTCTCCTGACAGAAGCCCCGCTAAACCCCAGCAAAAATCGAGAGAAGGCCGCCGAGGTTTTCTTTGAGACTTTCAACGTTCCAGCTCTTTTCATCTCCATGCAAGCTGTCCTCAGCCTGTGAGTATCCAGCCTGCTGGAAGGTTGGGGAGGTGGTTGCTTCTGGCATTGCTTCACTGTGATGACCAGAAGACTTCGGATACTTTTCTCTTCTGAGCCTAATCTGTTTCCTGTGCTCTAGAGGGCCATGGCCAGACTAAGAACATAGGAAAAGCCTGTCTGTTAGATCAGGCCAAAGGCCCATTTAGTCATTTTGTAGCTCCCAGCATACTGCCTCCGACGGTGGCAGTAGAAAGCTGTTATGGCTAGTTGCCATTCATAGTCGTGTCTGTCATGAATTTGTCTAATTCCCTTTTCTAACCATCCAAATTGGTGGCCGTTACTGCATCTTGTGAGAGCGCATGCCATAGTTGTTTGAAGAAGTCCTGAACTAATTACCCTTCTTGTTTCCCTCTCTCTCTCTCTCTCTCTCTCTCTCTCTCTCTCTCTAAGCTACGCCACTGGCCGCACTACAGGGGTGGTGCTGGACGCAGGGGATGGAGTGACACATGCGGTCCCCATCTATGAGGGCTTTGCGATGCCTCACTCGATCATGCGCGTAGACATTGCTGGGCGAGACGTCTCCCGTTACCTCCGCCTGCTGCTACGGAAAGAGGGCTATGACTTCCACACCTCAGCTGAGTTTGAAGTCGTGAAGACAATAAAGGAGGTGAGGTTGGGGCAGATGGATACATGCCTGCCATGGGGGGGGGGCGATATCCTGCTCCTGCCGAGAGACAGTCCTAGGATTTAAATAAGGTGTTTTTGGTTACTGAGTAGCACACTGGACTAGACCTCTAAATCGTTAAAAATCTAGTTCCAGGTGACCCCTGTTAAAAACACTCCTCTGTAGAATTGGAGCAGTAACTGGCCGATTGATTCAGAGAATGTTCCATAAGAGCCTTGTAAATCAGAAAGAGGATATGGTTGAGCAGCGCTATGACAGTCTTCCCAGCTAGATGGTGCCAAGTCTGGTTCTTAAACTAGTGCATTTTCAGTTTACATCTGAGGTCGCAATGATCTTAAAAGAGAAAAGTTCTGATGAACCAGGGGCTTCTTTTTGACATTTCCATCATATACTGAAGAGGCAAGCAACTCTTGAGTTTAATGAGTCAAAGCTGTGTGCTTCTTAAGCAGTGCGACCACCTGTAGTCAATTTTTCACACATTCTGTATCCATCCTCAGGTATATGTATACAGCTTTTCAGAGCTGTAGCCATGGAAGACAAATGCAGGAGCTAGGAAGTTCTTGAAGCAATTTGCTACATGCTGTCCATAAAATAAGAGAATGTGGTTGTCTGCAGAGAGCAAGAAAACCAGGATAGTTCGCTAATTTGGGTGAACTATCCTGGATTGGGTTGTAGTATGAGATTGTGCAAGATAACTGGTCTATGTCATGATCGAAGGTGCATCTGCAGAGGGGAGGCTTGAATTCTGGCCCTCTGTCCAGTTAGCTCGCTGTAGGCCTGGGTGGGTGGAGCTGCTAGGAGTTCTTCTAGCAAGTGGCTTCCAGTACCCAGCTGCCTCACATGCTGCCTTCCTCCTTGCAGAGAGCTTGTTACTTGTCCATCAACCCTCAGAAGGATGAGGCCCTGGAGACAGAGAAGGTGCAGTACACGCTGCCTGATGGAAGCACTTTAGATGTAAGTTTTTGAACTGGAAAAGGGGACTTTCCCCTGGGAGGTGTCAGCAGGAAATCTTGAGGTTTGCATTTTGCAGTAGAGGTGTTTGCAATTATTTCTGGAGAAGTTTTGCAATATTCATGCTGTGTACAAGAAGGTGGTTGACACAGACTTCTCACAGTCATGCAGAACCCCCAAGTGACAAAAAAGACTGTCTTTTGAATGCTGTAGCTGTTGTGGGTTGAAGTAGAGCTTATTTGTCCCCTTGCCCTACTTTGATTGGCACTGTGGCTTTCTTGGCAGGTTGGTCCATCCCGGTTCCGAGCCCCTGAGCTGCTGTTCCAGCCGGACTTAATAGGAGATGAAAGCGAGGGGATCCATGAAGTGCTAGCATTTGCTATTCAGAAATCTGACATGGACCTGCGGCGGACATTATTTGGGAATATTGTTCTGTCTGGAGGATCTACACTTTTTAAAGGTATGGGGGCTCCCCAGAAGAGGTAGAGAGCTTGTTTGTCTTATAAGAGGAGGCTGCTTCACACCATGAATTGTCAGGTAGTCCAACTAGCTGCATATGGTCTATTCTTACTGGGAGAGGCCTGAATGAAAGGTTCTCAGCCTGTGAATGAAGTCTGGTTGAGACTGTGGAGAACCATTGCCAGTCAGATCCTGCATGAGATCTGTTTTAGCTGAGGAATGCTAGGAATGGAACTTGGGACCTTGTGTATGTAAAGCATGTACCATTCCAGTGAGCTCTTGATATGTGTAGGAGACAAAGTGCTGGTATTAAGAGGCTGGGTTTCTGACAATAGTCTTCCTCTGTGCCCTCTCTTGCTGCCCTGTTTTGTGTGCAAGCTTTGAAACCTCTGCCACACCCAGTCTCATGCCCTGCTTTCAGCTGAGCATGTAACTCTTGGGATGAGTCTCTGCTTCTTCCTGTGTCAGTACATATCCAAGTCCCCTCTGCACTTCCCAGTCCTCTGGAGGACCATTTTTGCCCTGAAAAACAGGTGTTCATTGCAGACGATCAAGCACCAGGATCTTGGAACCCTTCAGGCAAGATGACTTCAGGAAGATGTGTTAACCTGGAAGAGGGAGGGGTGTTAAAAACTACAATTGTACTGGTCTACCCCCAATTTATTTGGCGTTTCCTAAAAATCAAGAATAGTGTTGGTATTGTGAGGAGCCCTAGCAATTACTTAACACTCTTGATAAAGGAGTCCTGTTCCAAACACCCAAAGGTGGTGGCGAGGAGGAGCATATGTAGAACATTAGGTTTCCAGTGGAGGCCAAATTAACCCAGTTAACTTTGGATGGAGGCTAATTGTGAATAACTTCTGGGACTCAAAAAGCTTCCCACCAGCTTCCCCAGAGTGAGTTGTCTTATAGCAGAATCTGCCAACACAGCAGTTAAATTGGAGGTTCGTAGATCTTCATGGGCACCCGAGCTGCTAAATGGGGCAGGGTATACAGTATATCCAAAGTGTGCAGGGATACTAGATAAGTATCTAAATATTAGTACAGGAATAGGAATGAATATGCACACAATACAAACATGCAGACAAACTTGGATCAGGATTCTACAGTCTATTTCATCTAACTGCATGTGAATCAATGTTAAGGCAAGACAAGAAGTGTGTAATTGCCCCAAGCGGAGGGCAGTGTCCCTATTACAATATTAATATTTTTTGTGGGATTCAGGGAAGTGATTACCAGAAACGCCATCCAGGCTTTCTCTGGCTTTTGTGTCTTAGGCAAATACTGCCTTAGTTTTTCTTTTCCCTTTCTGAAAGCCAGAGAGTGAATGGCTTTTTTATTTTAACGAAACAAGTTCAATGTCATATTTGGGAATCTGAATTGTGGCTTCCCCCAGGCCCTGTTCTCTACAGATTCCGAGTGTGTTTACTTTATTTATACAATACCTATTCTACTTTTTATATAACACATTCAGAGTGATTCATGAGAATATCAGAACAAAGGATTAAAACAGTTTCTAAAGGATGGGAGAAACAAAAAACAAAACAAAACAAAATCCTTCCAGTAGCACCTTAAAGACCAACTAAGTTAGTTCTTGGTATGAGCTTTCGTGTGCATGCACACTTCTTCAGATACACTGAAACAGAAGTTGCCAGATCCTTCTATATAGTGAGAAGGTGGGGAGGGGTATTACTCAGAAGGGTGGTGGGAATGGGTGATTGGCAGATAGCTGTGATGAGCCTGTTGGCGACTCTTAACGACTGCAATAGGTCTTACAGGAAAAAGCAAGGGGTGAGAAGGTGAAAAATGGCTTTGTCATGTATAATGAGATAAGAATCCAATGTCTTTGTTCAGACCAGGTCTCTCCATGGTTTTAAGTTTGGTAATGAGTTGCAATTCAGCAGCTTCTCTTTCCAGTCTATTTCTGAAATTCCTTTGTAGTAAAACAGCTACTTTGAGATCTTGTATAGAATGTCCTGGGAGATTGAAGTGTTCTCCTACTGGTTTCTCTGTCTTGTGGGAGGTGGAACAAAGAATAAAAAAGAGCCACAAAATAGCAGAAAGCCACCACCACCACCTGGCCTCTGAAGGGGCGGAAGGACGGGGACATTTCTGCTGTGAAGAGATGCTGAAAAGCTAACTGTGTCCAGTCCTTTTTGGGATTAGCATTGGAACGATGAGGCACTGATGTTTGGGATGTACCAACATGAAATGTAGTCGATACTTGACCTCTATGGTACAGCGCCTTGAACTCTAAGCTTCCTCACTTGTCTCTCAACTCCTCAGGTTTTGGAGACCGGCTGCTCAGCGAGGTGAAGAAACTTGCTCCAAAAGATGTCAAAATTAAGGTGAGGCTTTGGAGGAACTCCAGGCCCCAAGGCAGTTTGTGTGCAGTGACCATGGTGGGTGGAGGAGGAGCAGGAGGAGCAGAGTGATCTGGTTTCCAATACACTCTCCATAACGAAGGCTGGCAACTCACTCTTTAAAGGGAAACACAAAGTGTCTGAATTTTCTTAAGTTGCTAAGCTCTGTACTGGAGGATGCATTCTCTTATTACAAAGGCAAGGATCTCCAGATGTTTGAAATAATGTGTTTCCTGCATCTTAGCAGGTGATGTTCCAGTGGAAGGAATGGTTGGGCTCTGGTGCTCAGAAGGGCAGTTCCTGTGTGCGCATGTACCCTTGTTCACCGGAGGCTATGTCTCTGATTTGTGCTTTCTTCCTTGCAGATCTCTGCACCTCAGGAGAGATTATACTCTACGTGGATTGGGTAAGAGCATTCTGCAGGGAGGGATAAAAACAACCCCTGACCCCTCTGGCACCTCGCATCAGGTGCTCCTATGGGGATTAACAAAATTGGTCAAGTTGTCCTTAGTGCACTGAGGCCTCCACAGAAACAGAGGGCTGTGATGTAGAGGCTTTTTCTCAGCACAGGGAGCCTGATACTGCAGCATGAACTTGGGTTGGGTGAGGCAGCTCCTGTTCTTCCATCTGGAAAGTTCTCCTGTGCTTGGGTTAGTTTCAGAAAATGAACTGGCTCCAAGTTGTGAGTGGCAGTGGAGCCGTATGTCCTGGATCAGGAGTGAGGGTTATACCATCTCTGGTGGGCATTCTCTGTGCGGCAATTGCATTCATTTCTCCTCTCTTTGCATGCCTTGCTTCCTTTGGCCAGGCCTGATGATTCTGTGCTCTGTCCCCCACAGTGGCTCCATTCTCGCCTCCCTGGACACGTTCAAGAAGATGTGGGTGTCCAAGAAGGAGTATGAAGAGGACGGGAGCCGGGCCATCCATCGGAAGACATTCTAGGGCAGGGGCGGGGGGGCAGGGCAGCAGCAAGGCAGCTGGTGCCTGTGGGCGATTCATCCAGGTTGTGTCTTTTCTTCTCTTAACCCTTTCTTGTCCAGGGCTGCTGCATCCCTGCTGGCTGGGGCCAATTCCTGCCTTCCTCCCAGGCCTCACGCTTTCCTGTCTTAGTGCCCTGTCCGATGCATGTTGCTAGCACGCACGCCCTTGGGAGGGAGGTGCAGCTGTATTTCGAGGCCTTGGCTGTGGTGGAGGAGGGCAGCGGCCCCAGCCAGGAAGGAAACTCAAGCTCCATTCCACTTTCTAATCTGTTCCATGAGCCTCACTGCTGCTTTGACCTGGTGCTCATTGTGCCTGTCAGCTGGTAGGAAGGCTGGTTTTTTTCCTGAGCAGGGAGCCCTTGTGCGGCCTCTGGCTGCCCTGCCCTGGGGGAAAGTTGCCTGCCTGCCTGCTCCACGGTTTGTTGCGGAAATCTCAAACGTTCAGATGCCCCCCAAAAGGAATAAATCAGTTTGTTGATGTGACTGCCTGGGGCAGCTGCATTGCCTGCCTAAAGCATAGGAAAGGTGTATCGTCCCCCTCAAGTTCCCCTACCTTTTGAGTGGCCGTGTCTGCCAAGCAGTCTTCAGCCTGCTTCTCAGAGAGGTCCTCCTGGCAGGGCCTCACTCAGGGCTGTCAGTGCCAAGGTGTTTCAAGGAGTGCTGAGGAACTCTTGCCTCAGTGCAACCCACCCGCCCCGCTCTCATGGACTGCCAGATTTGGTGAGAAAGAGGATCTTGGTTACCTCTTGGAGGAAGAGGTATAGGAAGGGAAATAGGGCAGGGGTCTCTCCCCACCGTCTCTGCCCTGTCCAGTCCCAGGGGAGTAGGGTCAGCATGCTGTTAGTTTCGGTTAGAAGTCTGTGAGGCAACAGGAGATAGAAGAGTCCAGTTGTGACATCTTCTGGGCCTGGTGGCTTCTGCAGTGTGCCTAGCCAGCTTTGAAGGGACTATCTGTGATGGCAGAGGAGGAGGAAGATTGTCTGTGCTTCCCCCTTTTGAGAGTTGATCTGCTCATGTAATGCAAGAGAATGTTGCGAACTGGCTATTGGACAAGACAGGATGGGATGACCGCAGTTGGAGGGGCCTGCAAATCCTTTCTCCAGGCCTAGCACTCTGCTGGAGTCCGAGTCAGGGGGCAGATAAGGAGGAATACTCTCACCTGTCTGTCTTTTAAGCTACCACACTTACAGGTGCGTCCTGCATCTCCAGCTTGCCCCTCTTGGGAGTGCCTGCTCCGCTCGCTGGGCTGTACTCCCCTCTCCCTGCACCCCTTTTATCCTTCTGCTCCCTGTAGGAAACGGTGGCTGGGCCTCCTTGTTCACGGACTCTCTGATGTGCATAGGCTTGACCTAAGGTCCCGATTCTGCTGCTGTTCCATTAAAAATTGCCAGGCCATGCTGGGTATGTAGAGAATCGCACTGGGTGGGATTGCAGAACATGGGAGGAGGACTGTCCTGTGGCAGCCAAAGTATATACAAGAGCTAAGATGATGGGAAGCTACTCAGCTGCCTTCTGCTGACTCCAGGTGCATTGCAAAGATAGATGCTCTTTGTAGCCTTGGACTGGAAAGGGTTAAAAACTTTTTTTTATTAAGGAAATGAATTAATTTAAGAGACCCCCTGTTGACTGGTGGGCCTATGGCTCCACCTCTCCAAGTGTGTGTATATTGGCTTCTCCATCTTATCGACCTATCGTGATCTTATACCAAATGGAGGCAAGAGCAAAGCCCCCCACCCTCCAAAAAACTATACACCCCCCCCCCCGGGGCTGCAATGTACAATAACTTAACACAGTTGCCTGTATTTTTATTTTGTAAATTCATTATAGTAATAATTATAAATTAACAGCCAGTGGCTTTGCATGGGTCTGAGACTGCTGTCATTGCTCAAAGGTGGTGTGGTGTCTTTACTGTGACTAATTGGGAACAGTGCATACAAGAACGCAGACTTCTGTGGACCCCAATATGCACTAGGAACACATAGGGCTAAATTTACCAGTGCATGTTTTTGAAAAGGTGAAGGGTTAGAGCAAGGACTGAGGTCAAGAGATAGGTGGCTAATGGACAAAATGGCTCTACAGATATCCGATACTGAACCCTCTGCCTTTTCAGTAGACATTGCACGCAGAACAGGTAAAAAGCTGCTTTGAACTGCTGAAGAGAAAGCAAGGTGAAAATACAACCATATGTGTAGACAAAAGCCTCGTCTACACATATGAAAGGTGTGTTTTGGTGTAAACTGCTTAAAAGTATGTTTCCCAGTACGTTTCCGAGCACAATTCAAAGTGCTGGTGTTGACCTTTAAAGCCCTAAACGGCCTCAGCCCAGTATACCTGAAGGAGCGTCTCCACCCCCATCATTCTGCCTGGACACTGAGGTCCAGTGCCGAGGGCCTTCTGGCGGTTCCCTCACTGCGAGAAGCAAAGCTACAGGGAACCAGGCAGAGGGCCTTCTCGGTAGTGGCGCCCGCCCTGTGGAACGCCCTCCCATCAGATGTCAAAGTGATAAACAACTACCTAACATTCAGAAGACATCTTAAGGCAGCCCTATTCAGGGAACTTTTTAATGTGTGATATTTTAGTGTATTTTTGTTTTCAGTGGAAGCCGCCCAGAGTGGCTGGGGAAGCGCAGCCAAATGGGCGGGGTACAAATAATAAATTATTATTATTATAAATTATTATTAAAAGGGGTTCATGCTTGTCAGCAGCTTCATAGGCTACTGTATGTGGAAAACATGCTGGGGAGCCAGAATCTCTTACAGCTGTAAGGCTATATGCAGCTTCAAACCAAGCTGCACAGATTGTATTGTGGCAGACGGAGATGTTCACATGGGCAAAAATGCCTAAAAACCCTTTACTGGGAAAAGGAAACTAGGAACAAATGAGGAAAATTGTGCTAGACAAGATACATCCTCTGCTTTTGTGGTTCTGGAAGAATTCTAATGAAGACACAAAGAGGGAGGGTTGCTTGAAGGAAAGGAACCTGTATTTTCATGGAGCTTTAGAAAGATTACTTAACAGCTTAAGATTTCTTCATAAGTAATGGGAGAGGGGCTTCTCCGAGACATGCATGAGCCATGGGAACCTCTCTTTTGTAGGGGTGGTAATGTGGCCTTCCTGGAACAGCCCAGCTGAATACTGCAGGGAACTTGATGCAGGACTAGGGTCTGAACAATCCCTACAAGACAAAGATGGCTTGTACTGTTAATGTGACCAACAGCAAGTTTCCACATGCTTGGCCAAGAACCCAATCTTAATGAAGAATGTTTTCAATCTTCCATAGGGACTGCTTAAGTATGTCATAATTTTGGAGAATGTTCTCTGAAGCAAGAGAGGAGGGGAAATGGCTTGAGCTTAAGATATATTGCTGGATGCCAAAGTGCAACCATCTACCCACGCAAACCTAAGTTGCTCTTTCAAGCAGCATCAGCAATGACTCTTCCGACTAATCTGTTCCCTTGAAGCCATGGGTCACTTTCCCACCAAGTTTTGCTTGCTTCCCAGCCTTGGATCAGTTAGCTAGCACATTTTCTCCTCCTGGTTCCTGGAGGCTAGGCTAAATTGGTCTGTAAGGTAAAAGTAAAGGTAAAGGACCCCTAGATGTTTAAGTCCAGTTAAAGGCAACTACGGGGCATGGTGCTCATCTCGCTTTCAGGCCGAAGAAGCCAGTGTTTGTCCATAGACAGCTTTCTGGGTCGTGGCCAGCAGGACTAAACCGCTTCTGGTGCAATGGGACACTGACAAGCCAGAGCACATGGAAACGTGGTTTAATTTCCTGCCACAGTGGTACCTATTTATCTACTTGAATTAGTGTGCTATCAAACTGGTTGTAAGTAGTGTCTGTTCAGCTTTAGAATGCTAAAAATTAGAAAGCTCACATATTGAGAGATAAAAGAACTAAGGTCGCTGGTAGATTTGTACAGCTGCCCTTTCAAGAGAAGTGACACCCACTTTCCTCCCAGAAGAGCTGTACCTCACTCAAAAAAAGGAGGGAGGAATACCATCACCCTCTTCTGCTCCAGCACAAGAGGAGCTACAGTAAAGAAAAAAAGCTCCAAGGCACACACAGCTGGTTTTAGCAGCTGGGTTAGACCATAAAGAGAGAATTCATTCACACAATGAGTCAAAGACTTTATTAGGTTTCAAGGAATGTGATACATCGTGATATAAACAGCTACGTAGCTCAGCCCAGTATCCAGAAATCATAAATGGAGAGCTCAGCAAAGCTTTGAAGCCAAATCAGGGCAATTGGTAGCCAACCAACTTGTAATGGGCTCCACAGGAGGGGCAGCGCTGGGGATTTCCCTTGTGCAGCCAGAACCAGATCACAGTGCTGTTGTCCTCTTCACCTGCAATGTGTGGGATAAAGTAGATTAGGCAAGATACTGCAGACACATTGGCAAAATGTACATAGGAATGATGACAGGGGGTTGCATCTAGGCAATACAAGTTGATTCAATAAAAGAGCAAGCACAAAGAAAAAGTTGATTAATAAACTAAATCACCAAGAGTGAATTTAATAGCCACTCAAGCTATTAAACTACTTTAGGCAGAGGCCATTTATGAGGCTTGTTTTGTTACACTGATCATGTCTAAGAGTTCAGCTGCATCTGCAGGCAAGCCAACAATTTGCCTTCACAAATTTTGCAGATGTTCCAACTCAAACATGTCACATCTTCAGCCATATTCTTCCCGCCTACCCAAAGGAAGTTCAACACAAATGAGATGCTTCCCCCCCCCCAGGCAACACTGATTTCACATACAGATAAGTGACTGCACAAGAAAGTTCCCTTGAAATGATGTGAAGAAACAGCACTGAGCCAGAAGCTATTTCTGTATTTAAGAGAGACTTACAGATGCAGCCCACAAGCCTCTTGTCTGTAATTGAAGGGACTATGTTGGGGTCTTCCTTTGTTCCAGCATATCGTTTGGGTGGTAGCATGTTGTAAGGATCCTACAAGCAGCAGGAGAGTTGAAGACCACTTTAGAAACCAAAAAAAATTACTGCACATGTTCCCAGTAACTATTTGCCTTTCCCACCCCTGACTGAGGTTTGTGGCAGCAAATCAGCTTGCAGCCGAATGCCCTAGACATCTCCCCCCCCTCCAGCCAGTTATTTTATTTGTATCATTTTATCACTAAAATACCTGATTTCCAAGCCAAGATATGAACTCAACCACACCCAGCCCAGCAAACCTGACAGTTTCTCAGATTCAGTTCAAGTACTGTACTATGGAGCAGATAAAAACCAGTCTCTATCTCTCATTTGATGGAAGCACCAGAATGTTATTTATTTATAAAATGTTCTATACTGCTGTATCATAAAAATGCAGTGGTTTACAACATTGTAAAACAATATAGTAAAATAATAAAAAAAATCAGATACAAAAGGGAAAAAACTAAAAACGAGCACCAGTAAATTATTGTGGGGGATCTACTCAATTGATTTCCATTTAGCTGAATACTGAATAAAGAGAAAATGTTTAGTGGGACAGGCTGTTGCTGCTACCTAATAAATTCATTTTTAAGCCTAAAGTATTCTAAGTGATCCAATTACAGTGGTATCTTGGTTTAAGAACAGCTTAGTTTATTAACAACTTGGATTAAGAACGCTGCAAACCCGGAAGTAGGTGTTTTGGTTTGTGACCTTTGCCTTGGAAGCAGAACATGTTCCACTTCCTGTTGAGTGTGTTCCATTTGTAAACTGAGTCCCCCGCTGCTATGGGAAAGCAAGCTTTGGTTAAAGAACACTTCGGTTTAAGAACGGACTTCCGGAACGGATTAAGTTCGTAAACCAAGGTACCACTGTAAAAGTGCCAGTGTTCTGGGGGAAGTTACCAGTTTTTTACCATTTATACTAAAGGAGCACAATCACAACACAGTTTTATCAATAAAGGTCATTTTCCTTGCTTGCTTTTACTCACCAGCCCCTTCTCTAAAGCTTTCATGGTTTTCCTCTCCATTCCTGTAGCCTGTTCTTCATCACTGGGAATACCTAGGATAGAGAACAACAGTGAACTGTTTGGGATGAAAGAGTCTTCCCTATGTCAGGGAAGACACAAAGTATTTGTTTTACTACCAGTAAGCCTCTTGGCATCTGTGCCCCTGGCATTTACCACTTTGTCCAGTCCATGTCAAGTGATCCAATGACTTTTACCATACCATTTTAAATTGCTTTCCGTTTCTGTTTCCTAAAAGAAGTATAAGAGAAGGCCCTATATCTGTTTTGAGATCCCAAGTTGAAATTTTGCAGGAAGCTCTTTGAAATATTAATACATTTGGAGGGGGGTGCATTTTTAACCATATTGATTTTTAAATCATTTTTTAAAGTATAAATTTTGTAACTTAACTTTATGTGCCAAATCATATCAAAGCCTATGAAGTGCTGAAGAGATTGGTATTTTTAGTTTTGAAATATCTCAGTTCTGGACTGAGCCATGTTTAAGGTTTTTGTGCAGTCCGGCAAATCCCCCCAATATTAAAAACGGAGACCTGGGACTTTCTCTTCTACTGTATTACTTTTAGGAAACTGAAAACGGAAGCAATATAAAACGGCAAGGTAAAAGTCACTGGGTCCCTTGGCACGGAGGCGACCCTGGAGAAGAGTGGAGGCTCCTCCCTGTTTCTGCTCTCCTGAAACGTCCCTCCAACGCGGCCCGCATTCCCCTCGCATCTTCCCGCCACGCCCGGGGATCCCAAGGCGGCCAGGCCAGGGCGGCCCCTGCCCTCCGCGCAGCCCCCGTGGCAGTCGCGGCCGCGGCGGGGGAAGGGGCTGGCGGCCGAGAGACCCCCAGCAAGGTCCCCTCGCGCCTCCTCCGCCCGCCGCTCACCTCCGGCGCCCATGGAGCGGGCGGCCCCCGTCAGGCGC